AGTTTGTCCCTATTTTACCCAGCACTGGGTTGAATTTAACCCAGCATTTTTTAGAGTGTAACATCAAAGCTGAGCACTTCTTTAAAGAACAATAATAAATAATAGCAATCCATTAAATTTGTTTTTTAATGAGTTCCAAGCCGATAAATGTACAAATATGCATTAGAAAAAATAATTAAATTAACGGAATTTGACCATTTTACATTGTGATTAATTTCCACAGTGCTTCCCCGGTTTTTTTTTTTTAAACATAAAATATTGCGTAAATATACTATTATATGAGTTGTTTTTAACTGGGCGTGATATCTGATCTTCACCAATAAGACAGTTGTATATTGTACAAAAATCTAATTAGTAGGCTATATTACAGATTATGTGCGTTTCCCAATCTTTTTCAGAGATGTTTGTTTTCTTTAAAAAGTTGCAAGTAAGACACATTTTTAATCTGGAAAACACTAGTTATTATTATTATTTATTTTTTTTTTTTTTTGCCGGGCCTGGTTTTTTTATTTTTATTAAAAGCGTCTGAAAGCAAGCCTGTGTTATTTATTGTTTCAGCAGAAAAAAAAAGAAATAGTTACCTATTAATTTTCGCGTCACGGGATCTGTTGCCTTACCTGTGCAGGTAAACCCCGCCCACGATGACAATACGCTATTTACAGTGAAGCAGTGACTGGATTCTTGAGCTTGCGCACACAGATAGTTTCAGCCAAAACGAAGCCACAACAGGAGCATCCACCGAATTTTCTTTCTTAAGGTTGTTTTAAACAATATTTTATTTCTTCTCTCGCTGTTCATTGATATCGCTACTCCCGATGCTGCTTTCATTACTTTACAGTGAGTTTGTAAATCTCCACAGATGTTTCTGTATGTTCTCCTGTGCTGTGTTGGGGTCGTGCACTGTTATGGTAATGGACTTGTCAGCTCAGTTTGTGGATCTATGACGCCTAATCACGGGTCTAACAGCGCTCAGACCAGCACTGCTCCGTTCACTGTCACTGCTGACAATACTACCTTTAAAGAGGGAGATCAAATCACAGGTGAGGCTGATGCTGCAGCTACTCTGCTTTGAAAACAGCTTTCTTAGCTGTTAAAGTAATACAAGTTAGTTTTACCTCATGAAGTTGCAGCTCTAGTAGACACAACTTGAGTAGGTCTGTGTAAACTTGGTAGTTTGTTGCTACTACAGTATAAAACAGAACTATTATGCAGCTTACTATAATAAATTGTACAGTATACTTAGCCTGGTTTTAAAGCTACATTTCTGTATTAGCTACTGCATAAATAAACAGAATGCAGAGAGACATTTTTCTCAGTTATACAATCACAGTCAGCTGTCACTACAAAAAATATCTGACCACTGAATTCCCTGATTGACTAATCAGAATTAAGTATTTTAGAGACAATCAATCAATCAATAAATGGACACAGTTTACAATAAGATTTCGTTTCGTTAACTTTAAATATATGACTCATATTGTTATTCAACGTTAGATAGTGCATTAATGTTAACAAATCAGACCTTAATAATAAATTGTTACCATTAAAATTGTTTTATTGTTATTTTGCACTATACTATGTTTACTAACTTTTAGAAATTAGTTGCTATTATGTTATAAATGTTTATACTACAGTGTATTTAAAAAGTATTCCATTTATGGTATATATATGTATATATATATATATATATATATATATGCAGTACCTTTTAAATACGCTATAGTATAAGTATACTATACTATGCTACACAACACTATACTATATGAATTTATCATTTGTAGTCAGATTATGTTGAGTCACTGTTGACAATAATTGGCGAAATGTTGTTTACAGCTGGTCATCATATGACATCAGTTCATGTAAGTTAGATCAGGGTCTAACTTACATTTCAGTGGAACTGTTTCTTCTTTCTCAGTGTTGCTAAACAGCCAACCAGGAGATCAATTTGAAGGGTTTATGTTACAAGCACGTCAAGTCGGATCAACTACTTCCATCGGCACTTTTAATGTGGCGGACAGTAATGCGCAGCTCCTCTCCTGCGATGGAGCGGCTGTGAGTTTATCTACATCATTTTCAGATTTTTCAGATTTAATAATGGTTGGTGGAGAAGAAACACAGACAAATATATATTTTATTATGTTATATTATATACAAGTAATCTTGTACACTTAAGGCTACTTATAAAATTGTATATATATTCTTTCATATCCATTTTACTAATAAGCTAGTTATTAAAATGCTATTGGAATAACATTGGCCAATTATCAGAAATTGTCCCATTTTTATATTATATTATTATTTATATTATTCAGAGTAGAGTAGTCTCTCACAAATCAAACACTAAAAAAAGTGTAATTCAAGCTAAATGGACAGCCCCTACATCTGGACAGCTCAGCGATATAGAATTCAGGTATCCTTTTTAATGTGTCTTAAGTTTATCATTTGTATGATTCTTATACTTATTTTTAATTTTTATTTATATTTCTTGTTGTAATTTGTAATGGAACATTTGGGGTTGTTTTAGAGCAACATTTGTGAAAACTGCTTCTACCTTTTGGGTTGGTGTCAAGAGCTCTACCTTGGCATATACAGGAACTTCTGCAACTGCAGCTCCGACTGTAAGTCTAGCTTTTACTTTAAACCTAAACAAACATGAAAACCAGGTAAATTAATGATCTATTTGTATTGTATGTTGTTTTGTATTCAGCAGAAATTGCTCTGTTCATTTCAGGTTCCATCAAATCCTGATTGTGGGAAAACCAAAGTCTGCTTCAGTCATCCCAGCAGCTGTGACCCAACTGCCAACACAGGCTGCTACTTCATGGCAGTTCAGACATCATCTAACCAATCAAAAATGAGGATTGAAATGTTTGGGCAAGCTGAAGGATACGTTGCTATTGGGTTTTCAGATGACCAGGAAATGGTGAGATATCAGCAGGCCTTTTCTGCTTTATTTGTCTAAAAATTTTGAATACACAAACCAATGTAAAATGGAGGATGTGTAGAACTTTGAGGGTGATGGTGTTCCTCAGACTAGCAGTTATGTGCCAATACACTGTAAACATCGAAGTGGGTGTCGGACATATTACATTTTTTCTGAAACTTGAGATCTACATCTTATCTGGAGATCCACCTCTGTCAGCACTGACTAATTTTCCATTCCACAAAAAAACTTCTGCAAACCCCATAAGTGATTTTGTTTTTCCAGAAACAGTGAGACAGCATTATGTTCATATGGTTTTAAAAGGTTTTTTGTTTTGTTTTGTATTTTCAGGGCAATGACGACATCTACATCTGTGGTAAGGACAGCAGCGGCAACCTTCAAGTGCAACATGCTATTTCCACAGGAAAAACAGCTCCAACTATTCTCTCACTGGTATATTTCTCTGTTATGCCACCATTTCTGTTATGTGATAAGATATCATCACTCATACATATTCTACATGTTTACAGGGGAATGTGACTGATATCAAGACAACGCTAATGAATGGAAATACTATCAATTGTTCTTTTACTTCCCGTAATGCGATTAGCACGAGAAGTAGAGCAACGTCTACTAGCGAGTACTACCTCATGATTGCTGCCGGACCCTCCAACAGTCAAGGTCTGTGGTTCTGTGTTATATAAACAAATGTCAAATGTAATGTAGTGTTATTTTAGTATAATTTCCTATTGATGATATATTTTATATTAATAAAAAATATTTTTATAGTAATAATAGACATTTTTCACATTTTCGGGTTTCTCAACAGCAGAAGTCGTCATATCTGGGTAAACTTCTATAGCGGTGAATTGGAGACTACCACAAATATATTTCTTTTGCATTCCCATTTTCTCAAATAGCAAAAGAAAAACTCCACGATAATGGTTTCATGACTTTCAAAAAAAAGGAAAAAATATAGAGAAAGACTGATAACGGCAGTCAGGAGAGAGACTGTATAGTCCCTCCCATAGACGCTGTATTAGAAACACCCTCGCTTTAGCGTTAATTCGTTTTTTTTGTAATTTGATGCAAATGTAATTTAATACAAAATATAGTGTTATAAATGTACATACATTTAAAAAAAAAATTTTAAATATAAAAAACTTTGGAGGATTTACGATGCTGATGATCATTGAAACATCATAGTCTTGTGAAAAGGGTCCATAAATTATATAATTAGAATAGTAATATATATGTATATAATATAGTATAATTATTGCTATTATATCATTTATTATTAATTTAAAAATCACTTAACTCATTTTATTTTTATAATCACTAATATTATTTTTTAAATATTTATAGTTGGCTTTATTTTTGTTTCAGTTTCAGTTTAGTAATTAATATATTATCATTATATCATATATGACAATGAAAATTCTATCATCCTTTACTCACCCTCATGTTGTTGCAAACTCTCATTCTTGCATAAAACACACATACTGTACAGTAAAGATGTTTAGCAGAATGCTCAGAAAGTTTGAATATACAGAAGGTAAGATTGTCAATGAATAAAGAAAATTCCTGAAAGAAAGCTATTGATTGGCTTCAGAAGACTTGTAATATGGTGCACATAAAGTATGGATTCTTACGCAAATTTTATGGTGTTTTTTAAGCTTGACTGTCCCTTTGCATCCTTTCATTGTATGCAAAAGAGCAGCATAAACCTTCTTCAAAACATCTCCCTTTGTGATTTCTGGAAGGAAAAGTGGAATAGCATGAGTAAATGATGACAGAATCTTTATTTGGGTTGTCTAACTGAATATTATCTTCATTTGTAGGTAACATCCAGATCCACACAAATAAATATGTCAGTAGTACCAAGGCTAATTTACAGGATCCAAGCCAGGTCGTTACAAGTGCTGAAGAATTCCCAGCGATTGTTAAAGCACACGGTGAGTACATCATGACAGACTGGATCCACATTAGAGCATCACATCAGCGCTATTGTGGTCCTGATGATACTGATCTGCTTCAGGTTGCCTGATGTTAATCTCCTGGATGACCACGGGCAGTATAGGGATGCTCATTGCACGCTATTTAAAGGGAGTTGCCAAGGACCATGGTTGCTGCGGTAAAGATTTCTGGTTTATGGTAAGTAATGCTAACTGATTGTGCACACGGAGCAAATGAAAACATCGGATCCGTTCATTTAGATACTGTAGTCAGGTTTAGTAACCATAGTTCAGATTGCATGCAGATTTACGCATATGCATTTGGCAAATGTTTTTGTTGCATGCAAAGTATACATTTTTTAATTCATGCAATCAAACCCATGACCTACTGTAGGTGTTATTAGCGCCATGTTCAACTCCTATGCTTAAAAATCAGACATGAATTTGGCTGGATTAGGATTGTAAAAATGTGGATTCTGGATTTGAATTTTTCACTGTTTAGACTATAAACAACTTAACAGATCTGAGCTGTATATGCCAAAAAAATAAAAATAAAATCAGATTCAGATTAGTTGGCTAGCATGCTGTCTAAACAAAGCAGGAGTCCTTCCCATGTGGGCCGCTTTATCAAGCTCATCAGCTCATTTGTAAATGAATTACTTGTCATGTTGACATATCTGTTTCATCAGCATGACAGTGGGAAAATTTCTTTGATAAATGCTTTGCAGTAATAAGTTGTAGGGAAAAGTGTATGTGCAATTAGTGTGAGAAAGATAAGATAAGAAGCTAGTTATGAAATGATCACTTGTCATTAACTACCTTTATTGCATTATATAACATAACTGTTCTATATATACTAAGATAATATAGAGTAATTTACATTTCAGCACAATATCAGCACTTTTAAAAATGATTGGACTGGATGTACGTAGCTAATGTACATTAAAATTGTGTGTTTCATCTGTTTTAATGTTTTCATTTGAATGTACATGGACTGATTTTTAAGCATAAGGTAATGTTGTTGAAGACCTACAGTAAGTGTAACCTGCTAAATGTTTGAAATAACTAAACATAGTTTATTTCTTCTTTGAAAGGCCCACGTGTCTCTGATGGCCCTGTCAGTCACTGCCACGGCCATCGCATTCATACTGGTGTTTTCTTATGCTCGGGATTGGAGTGGGGTAAGCTAAAACAAACTAAATAATTAAATTAATAAGTAAGTAAGCAAGTAATTAAGTAAGTGAATAAATAAAAATTAAGAAAAATAAGTTACAGATTAAACCCTTACAGTTGCCAAAAATAAAGCTTTTTTTTTTGTTATTTAAAAACAAATAAGAATGCCCTGCCCAGGTGACAAAAAGTAATGCAAAAAAAACAAACTAAATAATTAAATTAATAAGTAAGTAAGCAAGTAAGTAATTAAGTAAGTGAATAAATAAAAATGAAGAAAAATAAGTTACAGATTAAACCCTTACAGTTGCCAAAAATAAAGCTTTTTTTTTTGTTATTTAAAAACAAATAAGAATGCCCAGCCCAGGTGACAAAAAGTAATGCAAAAGTGACGTAATGCATTATTTTCCATAAGAAGTAACTGACCCCGCTGACCCAATGAGCATTTTGCTGTCCAATGGTCATGTCTTAACTTTGCAATTTCTTTATTGCATTAGTTTTGAATATTTCTCATGGGGATTTCATAATTTTTGACTTTTCAGTCTGAGTTAAATCTCTTTTTTGGCTCATTTTATCGGTAAAAGAAAACATGCACACCTGAATATAAGGAGTTTTTAACTTCCAGCCTTCATGGACAATTATATATCACTTATAAATGATAAGTGATATATGTAATAGTAGTTATTAAGATTGATGTGGTTTGAAATGGGTAAAATGTGCTTGGAAAAAATATGATCAGAATATCAATGTGCCTAATAATTATACACACACTGTATTACAAATAATTCCAAATAAATCTAATCATGACAAACTATATATTGTTGGAAAGGTCTCCTAAATAGATATTTTACCACTGTTTTTTGTTACAAATTATGTTGAGTGCACCTCAAAAATCTACATCATAAAAGGAGTTCTGAATTTTGTCACAAAAAGTCTTTTTTCGTTGCCTTTTCCCCTATCACGTTTTAGTAATTATCATAAATTATATATCAATTGAAATCTTAAAAACTCTAAATTCATCCTGTGATGGACATTGGACGTTGCATTACCATGGAAATGGTACTTCAAAAACATATTACAAAATGTATTCATTCAGGAATTATTACAATTTAAATTTGGCTAGTGCACTTTCACGTCTATGTTCAAACTGGTGACAGTTAAATTGTTAAAAGTAACTTCCCTCAACACTGATTATATTTATTATATATATATATATATGATGAAATAATGATGTTTATAGGTAAGTAGTTTAAGCATAATTTGTTACATATAGAATCTAGATTTGGTAAAATAACAGTGAAGCATGGACTTTGGTGGCTATTTGCCTAAAAACAGCAGTAACAGCAATATGATGACAATAAATAGAATATTAAAAATTGAATGACAGAACATATACTTTAAAAAAATAATAATAATTTGGCGGTAAAAATGCAGATCCTCTCAGATATATAAAATATAAAGGGTTTTAAATTGAAATACTGTTTATTTCAGATGTTTAAAGTGGAGTTGTCTCTGTGTGTATCTGTGTGTAGGGGGCTCATCCGGTCCTGGGCTGTTTGGTGATGATCCTCAGTCTTATTCAGCCCATAGCTGCTGCTTTCCGCTGTGAGCCGAATCATGAACGGTGAGAGAAACTTCTCTTAACCAAATAAGAAATGGAAAAAGGAGGTGGAAGCATTACTGTTAATGTGATGGTTTTCTTTGCAGGAGGTTTGTTTTTAACTGGGCCCATTCCTTCATTGCTTTAGCTATCAAAGGCCTCGCAGGTATAACAACAACTTTATTATCTTCATCAACAACATCTATTTCCTCAGAAGAATAACAATATCCCTTTTTATTCTGTGACACAGTTGCTGCAATTTTCACTGGTCTGGCACTGTTTGAAGAATATGAGGAGGATGGATGGATGTTGAAAGTTATGGGAGGTTTTGTTGCCTGGGAGGCCCTGATATACGTTCTTCAAGATCTTAACCTGCGCGCCAAGAAAAAGGGTAACGCTGCATTCACAAAGTTATTTTGATAAATATATTTATTTATTTATTTACACTACTGTTCAAAAGGGGTTTTTTTATTATTATTTTTTATATATTTATTTATTTAGTTATCCATATTTTATTTTATTTTATTTTTATTCTTTTATTTTATTTTAAAATATAACAAATGTTGATTAAAACATTTATGGAAAATATTTTATAGTTTTTAAATATATTTATATAATTTGTATGTGTATATATAGACATTATATTGTGGTTGTAACTTAAAGTGTACAAGTCAACAGCACTCAACCACTAGATGGCAGAGTCATAAAAGGTATTTTTATGCAACTATGTAATATTTTTATTGTAGATTTTCAGACTATTCAAGGGATGAGATCAATTCTTCAACTGAAATTTATTCAAACATTTTATTGATTAATAAATAGACCATTTTGTTTACCTTTTGGATTATTAATTGCTGAATTGTATGCCCTAAGATGTAGCCTACAGATTAATGGTATTAAACTGAATGGCTAAACTAGTTAAATATGGACTAATACATTGGTATTAAGTAAGAAAAAAAAGTTTTACAAGCTATGATTAAAGGGGTCATATGATGCTTTTTTTAAAGATCATTATTTTGTGTATTTGGTGTAACAGAATATGTTGACATGCTTTAATGTTCAAAAAACACAAATCGCATCATATGACCCCTTTAAATATTACCAAAACATTAATTTTTTTTACTAAAACATGCACAGATGAAATGTTTGCGTTAAGACCAAGAATGTGTTGTAACCAGTAAACCCATTCAATTTTCAACAGTATTTCCAATGCATGCCTTCACATTAGACAAAGAAGGGAAAGCAAACTCCTAGCTACAGTATATGGGTTAATGTCCACAATGCAGCCTTGAACTCTCCTCATTCAGGACCTCACTGAAACGCTCTGGTGTTGATTTAGCAGCTTGTGTGAAGTCAGTTGGTTGGCTTTCATCTTTTACAGTGTTGTGCCTCGTGGTTCTTGCTGTTTCAGCACAGGCCTCCTGGTGTTCGGCTGGTAAACGTGGCCGTAGATTTGATGTTTTATACTGTTTAATAAAAAAAAGAAATCAGAAAAAATAAATTGCGTTACACGCTCCAAAGGTCCTATCTGAATCAAAAGATTCACAAACACGCGCCGCAGTTCCGATCTAAATCAAACGATTCACAAACCCGCTACGAAGTCCCAATCTGAATCAAATGATTTGCTATATACTGCTCTGAAGTCCCAATCTGAATCAAATTATTTGCTATATACTGCTCTGAAGTCCTGATCTGAATCAAATGTTTCACAAACCCGCTCTGAAGTTCCAATCTGAATCAAATAATTTGTGAACACACTCCGAAGTTTCGATCTTAATCAAAAGATTCACGAACCCGTTCCGAAGTTCTTATCTAAATCAAAAAATTTGTGAACCCACTCCGAAGTTCCGATCTGAATCAAATGATTTGCACACCCGCTCCAAACTCCCGATCTAAATAAAAAGATTCACGAACCTGCTCCGAAGTTCCAATCTGCATCAAATGATTTGCAAACCTGCTCCGAAGTCCCGATCTAAATCAAATGATTCGTGAACCCACTCCTAATTTCCAATCTGAATCAAAAGATTTCCGAACTCGTTCCGATCTAAATCAAAAGATTCGCAAACTTGCTCTGAAGTTCCGCAGTGTGTTCCAAACGGGGTATATCGCCCTCCGAAGGGAACTTTGGAGTGAAAACAATCATGGCCGCCATATTGATGGTCGTTCCAAACCGAAGTGCTCAAAACTGCCCACTTCATAGGGCCCTTCAGAATGAAGGGTACAACTGATGGACACTTCGGGCCCCCATGATCCTTTGCACAGAGAAATTGTTTGCCGTCACACCCTGCATTCCATTCGGAAGGGCATAGGGATGAGAATCCGTGTATCATTCGATCATTCGTTTTTTGATTTAATATTGAAAATAGAAAAATTAGAAAACGGCTCCTTTTTTGTTTTTTTGTTTTTTTTCCAAAAAACGAAAAACAAAAATTCGGAATGAGGGTAAACTTTATCATTCAACTGAACTGTGCACATATGTTTTAAACACTTCGGCTACCTTATGTATTAAATGTGCGTCCTTGAAGGTGTGCGGTTTTCTAGCTTATTTACTTTTCAGGTAATATCAGTGGTATGATGTATTTCAGATGGGCCAAATTTACAACAACAATGGTTACATACACATATATTTAATTGTTTGATCAAAATTATTGCTAGGGACAATTTAGTGGTTGCTGGATATTGATAGGGACATGTCCTAGCATCCCTACTAAATTCTACGTCCTTGTTTGTAATGTACATATTCATTAAAGGGTAGCAGGCGGCCAGGCGCGCTGGAACCACGGTGGATTTCAAAGAGCAGACTTTGGAAGGTGTTTGGAATATTTGGGACATAGCACCCCAGCCTGCGGTAAAATTAACAACCCTGACACCGATAGAAAAACCAGAGTGAAACTTTGGCACATGGAACAGGTTGAAGTTAAGTGACATGTGGCCAAGTAGGGTGACCCATACTTGGAATTAGTGCTCTGCATTTATCCTATCCAAAGTGCACACACACAGCAGTGAACACACACACCATGAACACACACCCGGAGCAGTGGGCAGCCATTTAGTGATCCGGAGATGTCTACAGCAGAACTGCCCCGGGCCCCTGGACTTGAATAGAAGCAGGGCTGGCTATGCCTGCAGCATTTTTGAAATGCTCACTACACAGAATGGCTTTCTGGATTTATTTCTCAAAGCAGGAGATGTTTAGAAGATACGCAGAAGTTTGCGTTTTCCCAAGTTTCCCAATCCTCATTTGAACCCTTTGCTGTTTTGAACTTGACTTGATGCAGTGAACTGCAGCGTAAATCATGGGAGACTGTCTGACTGATGTTTATTAGCATAAAGGGCCAGTGATCCGGAGATGTCTACAGCAGAACTGCCCCGGGCCCCTGGACTTGAATAGAAGCAGGGCTGGCTATGCCTGCAGCATTTTTGAAATGCTCACTACACAGAATGGCTTTCTGGATTTATTTCTCAAAGCAGGAGATGTTTAGAAGAAGTAGTTTAGGAAAATTACTTCGTGGTTTGCATTCATCACAAATGCTGCTTGCTGAAAAATGTATTAGATTTATTGCATATTTTATGTTTCCCAAAGAAAGAAAGAAAATCATACAGATTTGGAATGACAATAATGAATAATGGTGAATTATCCTTTGAAGCTCTTCCCTAGATTTCATTAAATTACATGTGCTTTTAGTTTAGTTAAAATCTTTTACTGAATCATTTACTGAAAACCAGGCTCACACAGAATAACCTCGGTATGAGTTTCTCTGTGTGTCTGTGGTTTCTGTGAGAGCGTTCTGATGTAATGTCTGTAGCATTAGGTGTGTCTTCCCATTACTGCTGATATATAGACATAAGCAGCACAGCTTTCTCTGAGGAATCACTCCCCTCTCAAAGATTTGGTTTCATCTTTACTAAAAGAGACAATATTTCCTACCTTTTATGAAGTATCTACATACAATTTGCTAATCAATTTAGACTATAAAACAAGCCCAATAGTCCTAGCGAATTCTGTTTTGAGGGTCAGCTAGGATGCATTTCTTTTGTTTTACACCAAACTGTAAATTATTACACTGCTGTTTTTCCCCATAGCAACTATGTGCCAAGTGAGATGAATGTTGAAACTTCCTCTTGCACAAAATAAGTTTCTGTTCCTTTAACTTGATGCTATCTCTCCATATCCTCTCACTGAAGATTAAGTTATTTAAATTTGCATCGCTAAACTGTACACCTCACAGCTCAGTCGAAACTAGAGCTGACACTGACTTCAGAGGAATCATGACTACTTTAAAAAATAGTAGATAAAATGTGCGGTTTACAATGGTAAAAATAGTTTCATCTTTTTCATTTCTCCTTGATTCATTTTTAATAAATGCACACATGAAACAAGTATCTGTTGATGAGACAAATCAATCTCTTGTCAACTGTTCCCTGATAGTTGCCATTTTAAATACATTAACATAAACAAGTATTCAGCACTCAAGCCATTACTGTAGATGGAAAGTGAATTTGGCCAGATCTGCATTTGCTGAGGCTTTACGGGTACAATTAAGCTGTCTGCTGATTCAGTTTTTTGCCAACTTGAGCAATAAGGCACAGCCAAAGGTTCTGCTCCTCCAAGACTCTCATCTGAAAAAGAGAGAGAAGATAGAGGGGACACCAGTGAAGTTCACTGAAGTTCGACAGCAACACTTAAAGGTCAAAAAAGTCATTTGATATTCATGTAGCATGAAATATGTCAAATAAAGCAGGCACATACAAAAAAATAAAATAAAAAAATAAAATACTGGAATATTTAGACTGACATAATATTTCATATACAATTTTAAAAGACTTTAACACTTAAAATTTACAGTAAAACTCAGGGCTTAACGTTCTCCGGCACCGTGCCGGATATCCGGCGTGCAGCGTTTGGCTGCGGAAAAAAAATAACCCTACATTAAAAAAAAAAACAAACAAAAAACTTGTTGATATCACTTTCGAGTCCACGAGTTCGCCTACCAATTGTATGAGAGGAGCAGCTTTCACTCTCAACCAAACTAGCATTACTAGCAGGCGGCGCAGCCCTGATGAGAGCGCGACACGTTGAAAAAGCTGCGAAGCGCAATGTTCAAAGATGTCCATCTAGCGCATATTTACATAGAAAAACTAATTAAAAGCAGCGGAACTTTGTAAACAGCTCAGAGTAATCATGTCATCTCCATAAGAACGATATGATTGCCAGAACAAAAATACCGGGATTTTTCGCGATTTCAAAATAAAAGTTTCGGAGTTTGCATGTGGCCAAATATTAAAATTGAATGGATTTAAACATCGTTTAATCACGCTGTAAAGTGAAACGTCACCAGGCCTTTGGCGCCCTCTGCAGGTATTTGTTATAATACATAAAATGTAGTTATGTTCATATGTATAAAGAATGAGAATGTGACGTAACGCCGCGTTGAGTTCTGGGAAACTGCTTTGTTAGTAAATTATTATTGCCTCATCGTTAGTTTATAAATAGTAATACTAAAGCCTGGTTTTCACTTGGGTCTATTTGTGTTACTAAAAAATATCAGATTACTCAATTGTCAAAATAATCAGTAGATGACTTGATTATCAAAATAATCATTAGTTACAGCCCTAGATTAGTTAAAATATTTCAAAATACAACTGCATTGTTTTACTTTTTGTAATTAAAAGACAAATATTTTGTCATTGAAAATTTCTTAAAAATAGTATTAAAATATTGTCTCGTTCTAGTGAACCAAGTATCTGTATTTTGTCTCATCTCTTGAGCTAAGTGTATTGGCACACCCCTAGTGTCGATAAGCAGTCATATAGCTCATAATTTTCAAAGTGTATAGCTTTCATTCTTCAGGTCAACCATATATTCATGAAAAAAAAAATCAGTTTGAATAAGGAAAGCAATAACTTTGCCATAGTATCCTTTCAGATGTTAAAGTTGCCACAGTCATCTGCATTTTTTTTATACTGTATGTCTAGAGTCATGTCTAGACTGTGAAAGACTTTCAAAATTGTGTGAACTGGTTCCCCTCATTTATATGTAGAACCCTCTGTTATTTAGGCCCCTGTGCCCCCAACCCTTCATGTCGCCAGATGTTTTGCACATGAACAAGTCTCATTGTGTTTCTCTCTTCTTCAGCGCAGTTAACAGAGCATTACAAGTGAGGGATCCTTCCTAGAGCTGATCTGGCTGCACTGAGAGAGAGGCAGGTGGACCAGGGCAGAGCGTGGAACTCTTCTGGTGGTGGGGAGTTGGCGGCCCACCTCATGTGTTTGAGGACACAGCAGGTATCAGCTCCTCTTGGCTAAGTTCTGCTTCATCTGGTTCGGATGCCCTAGAAAATGAGTATGAAGGAACAATGGTTTGATTGGACTCTGGTTTTATGTCTCTGAGGTATTTTCCTCTTAAACAAACTGTGGTAGCATATGCCACACAAGCTGT